CTGCATCATAGTTTGAGTTGGAATCTTCAAGACTGTTGCACCACTAAGGTGTTAAGTATGCAAGCCCATCACTCTATGCACATCTTATAATTTTCTTTTTGATATTGATAATTACTGCTACATATTTTCTGGAGGGTTTATGGACATAATCTTCATCATAATATCTAGTACACCAGAGTTAGGGTTGAAATTACAAGATTTCTATATGTACTCACGGTTCCATTGAAGATCCAAACATAAATACATTTTGGAACCCTCATTCCTCATTACCCTTCATCATCAGTGAGCATTGAAACTCCTAGGACAGAAGCAGTGAACCACTAAAATCACACACACACACACACATGTATGTATTTATATATACATATATGTGTATATATATATGTATATGTATATATAGATGAGTACATAATCAGACAAACAAACAACATTACATGATGCTAATTGCAAAATCAAGGTATAATTCTTGGGGTTTGCATGACTTGAATTCCAAGAACCTAAAATGAACTCTATTCCCAGATGCTTTAGGGTTTACTGACTCAATTCCTAAATTGCGGTCTGGAAAGGTAAGCAAGTAATTCTGTCTTACAGAATGTCGTGTGCAAGAATTTGTAGGTCTGCAATGGTATTGGGTTCATAGTTTGGTCAGATGCAACTAGGCCCAAAATGCAGCTTTATAACATCACTCTAAAGGTGGGAGACTTGAAATCATAATGGACACAGCCAAAGACATAATCAATGAAATCATCAGGAATAATAATTCAATAAGGAATAAAAAAACTTATTATTTTGGTATATAAAAACACACAACCTTTTAGAAATCCTCCTTTTCTTTGTGATCAGATTTTAGGCTTGAGGTTGGAGACAGAGTAATACTTTTACTAATGCTAATGCTACAAGGCACTAAGGGCACTTACTAGATCTTCGTTGTAAACACCAACAACTGCGTAAGGCACTCTTGCCGGGTTCAACATAGGGCCCAATATATTGAACACAGTTTTAATTTTTAGCTTCTTTCTAACAGGGCTAACAATCTTCATTGCTGGGTGGTACTTTGGTGACATCATGAAACCAATTCCTGCTTTATTCACACAGCTTGTTACTCCCTTCAAGAAAAAAGAAAGAAAGAAAACAAAAAGTATTGAATCAATAACACAATAAGATCTGTATAAAGTTATAAATATTATATTTGGTACACATTTTACATTCATTTAATTGAGTGGGCCAGCAACTAAGGGCTTCTATATATTTGCCACTTAAATATAGTTGCAGAGACATGTCATGAGAAAACCACACAAAATAGCAGCATTTATAGTATATCAGGATAAGTTATATATGATGTGATAAAAAATGCATGAATAAAATGTCATGATGTAAACTGTTGAAAGCCACGCAAAGTCTTGGTAGCAATAATAGTTGACCTTCTTTAGGTGAAAGCTTCAGTCCGTACGTTCTGATGCTGAATATGAAATTACAGGACATAGGGAGGATGAATCTCCATAAATTCTCAACAACAGGCCACATATTGGACCCAAAGATAGAAAACCTTTACTCTATGGAAACATGTTTCCATTTCATAAAAGTACAAATATCATTCAAACTGAAAGCCTAACAGGAGCAACATGTGATTAGGTAGAACCAACATGATGGATAAATGGGGCAGTGTTAGCAATTATATTGAATATAGCTGGTTGTTCTATTAAACTTTGAAAAGACGAAAAAAGAGAAACATTTAGGTGTAATTAACATGGTGAGATATTGAGCATCATATAAGAGTTCTATATTAGAACTAACGGCATTATCCATCTATTAAGTACTGGCAATTGTTACAACACTTCCCATGCATTGACCTGACTCATCACTGAAAAAATATCATTTACATTACACTAATGACAAAAGAATGGGAGAAAAATGTATTACTTCCCATGATCATAAAATTAGCAGAAGAGCTACTGGGTTGAAGAATGTGGCAATGTTTCACATGCTATAAAAATTGCCATTCGACCCAGCCCCACATGGAAGACTAATTGTGGCATCACAATATCATCAATGCAACTATAAATGACATGGTTCAAAATATACCAACCTCTGGGTCCAAATCAATAACTACCCCTAGAGCTTCCAATACATCAGCACTTCCACAGGCAGAAGAACTTGATCGGTTCCCTTGCTGCAACAGAGACAACCAAACAGTAATTATAGCAAATGATACCAATACATCAGACAAGAAATTTTGCATCCATAAAGGAAAAATAAAAAAGTAACTTGGGATAACTTTAAGGTATTGTCAGTCACCTTGGCAACTTTTGCACCACAAGCTGCAGCCAATATTGAAGCACCAGTTGATATATTCACAGTGTTTGCACCATCACCACCCGTTCCAACAATGTCAACCACATCATTCAACCCTTCTAACTTCCAAGCATACTTTATCATTGCCCTCGCCAAACCAACAACCTAAATAATAATAAAAAAAAAGAAGTAGTCTTTACTCTGATTCTGGCCCCATTCAAATGGAAAAAAAAACACCCATTTGCATAAAGATCAGAGTACTTATTGCTTTCTATTAGGCCAATAAATATGCCAAACAATCACACAACTTGTCAGGAAAAATCTCTTCTTTGCAATCAACAATAGGTCAAAAATAAGACACTTACAATCACACAACTTGTCAGGAAAAATCTCTTCTTTGCAATCAACAATAGGACAAAAAAAAGACACTTACTTCTTCAAAGGTCTCGCCTTTGGCTCTCAACAAAACAAGAAAAGCACTAATCAGAGCCTCATTAGCTTCAGCTAACAAAAAATCTAGGGACGCCTCTGCCTCGGACTCCGTTAAATCCACTCGATTTATCAAAGATTCAATCAACTAAAAGCAAAAAATAAAAACAACCCAGATTAGGAAAATGCTAATATTCATACGTCTTAACACCCCCAAAACAAAATTCAAAATTTTTTCCTCTTACCTCATTAATTGAACCTATTGATAAGCTCAGCTTTTCACGTTCACCGGGCAGAGCGGAAACAGAAGCAGAGCCAGGAGCAGGGTCAGAAAGAACTTTGACATTACTCTGATATGAGAAGCGGTCAAGTCTTGATGCAAGGAAACGATTCCGAGGATCGAGGATTTTGATTGAAGGGCGGCGTTGAGTAAATGCAGAGAAAGAAACAGGAAAAGACTGCTGCAGAAACAGTGTTCTTGCCATTGCTCTGCAACCCAGATTCAAGTCAAACCCGGAACGCCTTTTAAGTTAGTAAAACAAGAAAAATCCGCCAATCCCGGGATTTAATATGGGTTTTTGCCCTTCACTTTTATTTCTCCTGCCCTTTGTTTTGTTTCGTTTGAGAAAACACTGAAATAGCCAACGAGGATGTGAACTTGTGGACTGTATCCCCAAATGTATGAAATAATAGGAATGTGGAGACTGAGATTGGAGAAGGCAGAATGAAAAAACATGGGTGAAAATAAGATTGAGGGGGTTGATTTTATAGGAGCTTTGAAAGGTACTGTGAGTTTACACCATAATTCTGTTTCTAAATATGGAAATTGGAAGGTGAATCGCCAGGATTTATGTTCCATACCATTTACAGGCTCTATTGATCATATATCATATACACCATAATCCTGTTTCTAAATATGGAAATTGGAAGGTGATTCGACAGGATTTATGTTCCATACCATTTACAGCTCTATTGATCATATTTCATCCAATGAATCAAATACTCGATATTAATCTAAAAGAACTAATTATCCTACCCATATTTGAAACACAGTTACTATATTAGAATTATCAAGCTTAGATTAATTTTAACAAGTTGAATCTAAGTGATGAAAAAATTATTGAAAGAAAACCCATTTGAGATTAATTAATGTGAATGAGGATACATGCATCTGTCATTAAATCATTAAATCAAATATTTAAATGCGTTTGGTATTTTTATTTTCTAATTTGTTGACTTTGGTTGTTAATTTTTACTACTGGTATTTACGTCTTAGCTCATATACAAAAACACCAGATATAGAAAAAAACTCTACTTGATTTGATAGTTCGATAATTTTGAATTGGATTTTTTAAAAATATAAGATACATGTATCTATTTTGAAATCAATTATTTATATATACATATATCTTGATCATTTGATAACTTGCTATTCGATTAGTGTTCAATGCTTTTGAAATTTGTCTATCAATTACGTTTAAAAGATAATTAAGATTTAACTACTTGAGATTGATTATTAAAATTTGAAGGATAGCTTTCTTTTCCCAGGCAAAGCATTCGTAAGGTAAACTCCTTTAACTAAAGAAAAACAAAATCTGTGACTAATGTTCAAAATTAACCACATCGTTCAAAGAGAATTCAGTGATATGGAAGACAAACCCAGAACAATTCTGATGAACCCTAACATCTATCTCTCTTCTCTCAACCAGAAATCAAAAAGTATAGCATGTTCTTAAAGGTATGGTGCAAGCAACATTGTGCCAATGTAACAACAGCATTTACATCATATTGATAAGCAATGTTGAATCTATGTTCTCAAAGGGGCGCTTCCCATCATTCACATCGACATACATACAAAAAATCCTGCAAATAAATCAGATAATTAGGTATACATACACGTAAATAGTTGAATTTATTATATACATAGACACATATGTGTGTGATTTTGAATTATATAATAAAAAAGTAGTTTTTTCTTATTCGTAAATCTTACACCACCTAATTAAGGATTCTAATCATCGAATATATCTTTTAAAGATAAATTAATTATATAAATGGTTGTTTCAATTAAAACTGAACTCTGTTTCAGTTTGGTTGAAGAGTGAGAGCCAGAGAGGTACCTGCCAATGCAACCACCAATGACCATGTCCTTTTACTTGATGCTGAGCCTTCTGCACAGAGAACAGACTTTGATTATTGAAACATTCAAAACAAGGTAAAAATAACTAAAACAAACAATGTTAGTTTCTTCTTCCTTGGGAAGGGAAAGCCTAGCTTGATTTCCATGGAGGCTAAAGGATGGCGGTGACAATTTTAGGTGCAATAACTTAAATTCAGTATGTCAATTTATTTAATCGGATATAAAAATTTCGAATTCAATTTTTAAATAAACGGATACATATATCTATTATTGAATCAAATCTTTGATTGAATGTTAACTATTATAATTACGTTCATGACAGTAACACCACTAGGAAAATATATCACATTTATCATCTCAACATGAAAAGAACTACTTGTCATCATTTATGAACAAAAGTATTATGTTACTCTAATTATTAATGGTTTGTAAATATATATCCGCATTTAACACGTATCCAACCTTTTAAATGTATAAAAAGACATAAATTTGAACGTAAATTCATATCTAACACATGGCCAGATCGGAGTAACATAAATTGATGGAACCGGGAAACAATTTGGTGTCAATCAATTTTCTCACCTGAATCACAATTGGTGGTGGAATTGAAGCTGCCGCACATGCACAACTGCGTAACCCCATCACTTCCAAACCCACATGCTCCACCGGTGGCCTCACAAGCCTTACAAAACTCATCATTTCCTTGAACCGAATACTTGACTCGGATCCCATATGACCACCCACCAGCCCCAGTAACTCTCAATGGAGCAAGGCTATAAGCACTGCTATACCCTTCACACTCAAGCTTGCTCAGATTTATAGCCTTGATGGCCTCAAATGCCACAGCACAACACTCTGGTGGGCCTGACCCAAAAACTGACCCTACCTTTTTGTGACCCACCAGGCTCCATGCCGGGCAATCATAGTACTCTTCGCATCCCATCCCGGATACATTCCTGCAAGGCAGGTGCTTTCCAGGGAAACCCTGGAAGAGTGGTGATTGAGCTGAGCAACCTATAAGCATGAACACGTTATCAGGCGTCGGATTGAAGTACGGCTCCCGCCATTGCTCGACGGCGAAGCCATTGCCTCTGCTGCCTAGCACTATGGTGTCACAAGTTGACATGTGGGGGTCATGTAACGTGAGCGCTTGGTAAGCATAGTCTATGTCTAGGACCCTGTATGATCCTGAACTGATGTGAAACATCAGAACATCGTTCATGCAGAACAAAAGGTCTCTGAAACCTGGGTGACCGCAGCCATAGTCAAGAGCAAAAGGGTAATCTATGGTGAGATTCCCACAATATGATCGGCATGAGTTAGCTCGGATGGCGGCAAAACTTGGTCTAGCTAAGATCAAAGCCAGAAAACTGAAAGAAGAAGTGATCAGGAAGAGTGAAGTCATGGCTGTGAGTGAAAAACTGAGAGTTTAGACTGGCAATTTGTGTTGCAAATGAATAAAAAAAAAGAGAAAATGATACTTTGCTTGCGCGGTAGAGGAATGATTGTTGGGTTTCTGTGAGAAAATGATGCTAGGAGAACTTTATTCACATGCATTGCTTATACTTTTATATGTTCTTCTTTCACTTTTATGAGGAATGATTAAGGTTTTTCTAAATGATTCTGCTGGCTTTTTGATGTGCTGCTAGCTTTAGTTTGCTTTGTGGGTTGACAGATGAAAATCTACATAAAATAATGGTTGATGGGTTTGCTTTATAATCTAGAAATATTTTGCTTGTCTGCGACTATAACAGTGCAAGTGGAAAGCAATTCAAATTAAAGATAACAATGGAAAAGAGGTTGTCAGATGGATGCCAATTACCAGATGGCTAGCCAAAGGCTCCAAATCCTTTTATTTGTTAATCATTTCTTGTTTACCTTCTGTATTTGTTTTTTCCTTTTGAAAATTTCTACAGGAAATTATCAAGTAACTAGAATGACAAGATCATTGCTGATCAGACTTTTAACACTTGAGAAGAGGATTAGAAAGAGTTTATGTCAGTGTAAACAAACTGCCAGAAAGAAAAACTAAAACACCCAAATTACCAAATATATATATATATATATATACTTATACATTTATTGCCAGAGTTTATGTCAGTGTAAACAAATTGAAGGATATTCTTAATTTGTTAAAAATTGTCAAAATACTTTTATTTTTATAAAATTTTTAATTATTTATTTAATGATTAAATTCTGTCTAATTTTTGTAATTTCAACTTTTCATATGACATCCTATGATTCTTTCTCTTTTCGATTAACACAAGTGGGTTATTTTCTTTAATATCTTTTGTTCTACAAGAATTAGATTGTGAATTTTCAATAAAATTATTAAAATACTTTAAATTCAAAAATTAATCTATTTATTCACATTAATGATTATTTTTATAATTTTATAGAACAAAATTAATACCTTTATAAGAACAAAACTTATTCACTAAATACTAATAGAGAAAAAAAAGATATCCATGAGTACTCATTGAAAAAAAAAATCACAAAATATCATGTAAAAAAAGTTGAGATCACGAGGTGTGTAGATGAAATTTATCTTTATTTAATTTTGATATTGATTTTTAATATCTGAATCGAATTACTTTTATTATTTTTATTATTTTTTTCATTTTAGTTCTTTTTTTAAGGTTACTCTATTGGAACAAAATGACTGGAACAAACCCTAGTGAGCTTTCTCCTCTCCTAAGAAATTCATCACTGCCTCAGCATTTGAAGTATTATGTGGAGAAGCGAATCAAGTTATGGAGAATGGGTTTGGACAGTGGAATTTGGCTTGGAAATGGCAAGGACCCGAACACATTCGTACAGGTTTGATCCACTACCTACATGATCATTTGTTAACAAATAAGGAAAGAGTGCACAGACGTTTGACTAATGACTCTTTTTGCTCTCGATGTCACTCTACAGAGGAATCGATTCTACATGTGTTAAGGGATTGCCCCTTTGCTATTGTAACTTGGACAAGAATTGTCCCTCGAGAGCAACATGACAATATTTTTGCTCCATCTACATCAACGTGCAGGGCTGTCTCTTAATCTCAGTAGAGAAAAGGATCTGTTCAAAGATATTCCTTGGTCAATTATCTTTGGAGTAACCCGTCGATTCCTTTGGAAGTGGCGCAATTGTTTTATTGTTTATGGGAAAGAAATCTCACTAGAAAGCCGCTTGTGTCTTGTGAATTGATGGTCTAAAGCCATTTTCTTATCACTCTCCTTTGGTTCGGAGTTTAATTGGAAGTCCCTTGGGTAAGTCATGGGTAGAAAGTTTTATTGGTTGGTCACCTCCCCATATGGACTGGATTGCATTAAATACTGATGCTGCATATTAACATTCATTGCAAGAAGCTATAAATGGCACATAGAGTCGAGCTATGGGACTGAGCCTTGCATGGGACTTAGGTTATAGGAGGATTGATCTTCAAATCGATAGCATGTTGACCGTTTAAGCTGTAACATCTCTTCTATCACATTCCTATTCCAATTCAGACTTGATTAATGTCATGCAGAACCTTCAGTTATGCCAATGGGAAGTGCAGCCTTGACATGGTTAATCTGGACTTCTCTCAAAATGATTCATATGCATTTTATCACCACTCACCTTTGGAGTATAACAATCTGTTATTAGCAGATGCTTTGAGAGTTTGTTTCCTAGGAATGATTAGAATGTAAAAGTTTCTTCTGTCAAACAAGAAAATTACTCTATTGGACATCACGTGCTTCTCACGTGATAGAGAAGGGAAACTTTCTTTCGGGAATTTTCACATGCACCGTGCCACCTCAGTCCGTCGCGGCCGCTAATACAGAAACCATTGCGAGCTTCTCACCTGATTCCCGCTGTTTGGTTCCCGAGAAATCGAGGGCTGAAAAGCAAAACAAGAACGTTTAATCACATCCATTTTTCTCTCTCTTTTTTTTTTCCTTTTTATTTTGCAACACCATAAATTGATCAATGGAAGCTCCTGAAGAAACCACCTCAAATGTAAGTCTGTTTTCTTTCTTTCACTTCAATTTCTTTGAACTTGCTAAAAGAAGAAAAAATTCATATCTTTTTTTCCTTTCATAGTGTAAACATAATATAATCTTTATTTATAACTGAAAAACTTTGATCCAGTCAAGTTAATTTCATAAAATTTCAAAGAACAGACTGCTGTCAGTACAAGAGAAAAAAGTTTTCCCATTTCTATGAAGTGCTTGTAATTCTATACTTGCAACTATTCATTCTGCAATTGTATGCTGTCTTTGCTTGATTCAGGTTTCTAAAACTTGATTTTGATGATACCCTTTTTGTAAAAATATATTTTATGGGAGATTTTGTTATTATTTAGAGTCATGGGTTGAAGTTGATTTGATGAATTAATTAGCCTGAATTTGTTTGATATATGATCAATCTTATATTGAAGCTATTAGCCTATTGCATAGCTAAAAGTGCTAAGTTATTCTGTATCAGAAAACACAAAGATTAGCTGGAACTGTGAACTGGGGCACTGCGACAGTCATTGGAGTGTTTGCAGGCATGTTATATGGAGGTAGCAAGGAAGCGGCTGCTTCAGTTGTAAGTTTTCTGTTTCTATAAAAACCTTCAATTTTAGTTCATAGGGAGTTGCAAGAATGTTTGAATGTGATATTATTTGTAACTGATGGCGGCCATTACAGTCCTGCAATTGTTTGCCTTTGATTGCAATCATGTGATTGCCTGCCCTTCTTTCTTCAACGTTGTTTTGTTAATGTTGATCGCGTATCAATTATGTCCATATTAATAGTTAACTTATGTGGTTGTTTCATTCAATGGTATTTTTAATTGAAACTTGCAAGTTCTTTGGCAGAGCAAAGATGCAGAAGTAATGTTGAAGCTTGGCAGCACTCCAGATAAACGGGAACAATATCGGTTGATGCGAGATGCAATGGAAAAAAGGTTTATCCGAGTCACACGTGGCTCAATAGTTGGTGGAGTTCGTCTTGGAATGTTCACTGCTGCATTCTGTGGTATGCAAAATTTGTTAGCTGAGAAACGGGGTGTCCATGATGTCTTCAATGTTGCTGGAGCTGGTTCAGCCACTGCTGCAGCCTTTGGTCTAATTAGTAATAATTCATACCTTTTGAAACTGGCTTTTGGAATTTGCAATCAATTTCCCAAGGGTTCTAGCATTGCTAGTAATGTCAATGATCAACTTCTTTCATAGTTGAAATTGGAACCTTGAATAGAGAAGAAGGATAGAAGGATAACATATCAGTCTCTTCTGCATTTAACTTCTTCCTTTTCTTTATTTGTTGATCTATGCAGTGCCTGGGTCTCTTCAATGGCGTGCAAGGAATGTCGTGCTGGGTTCAGTTCTGGGAGCAGCTTTATGTTTCCCTCTTGGTAATTGATTCGCACCTTATAATTGCGCACTCATAATTTCCTGAATTATCATTGATTGGTTGTCTCCAATGTGCTCTTTATATAACTGCTTTTTGTGGGTTGCTTGATTCAAAACCTTGTGACTCATTATAATAAGTCATTGTGATAAGGAGGGGTGGCAAAATCAGTCTTAGTACAATAGTCTTTGCAGATTTTCTGCCTCATCATTTAATCATGAAGTATTTTACACCATGCTCTCTAGACAATGTTACCGTTAAAGCTTTTAAAAGTGAATGGGAATAGAAGCCAATGTTACTTTTAGAACTCTAGAAGACAGAGGAGTTGATTTATAGGGCTGAACATATAACATAAAAATTGCGTTTTCCGACAGGTTGGATCCAATTGAAGCTTGTAGAGAAAGCAAATGAAGGGAATATGGGTGCTAAAGATTCAGGACAAAGGGGAGAAGCAAAGAGTGGTCTTGGGGCTGCCATTGACAGGCTTGAAGAAAACTTGAATAAATAGAAACCAAATATTCTGATGAGCAAACCTTCATGTTTTTCATGGGTGGAGAAGACTCCAGGACAACAGTGGCTTGGAACTGGATGTAAACCTTTTGGCATGTTTCTACTTCTTACTTCCTTTACCGGCCCTAGCTTTTGTTTATTGGGGCAAACATCTCAAGGTTTGCATGGATAGAGGGCTGAGGAGAATGCATTGTGGCTTTGCTTGAAGCTGGATTTATGCTTGATATGTACCTAGTACCTACTGCCCTTTTCTTCAAGTGGTCCTTGTTAGGGACCAAGATCCTTCTTTCTTCACTGTTGGTTTTTTCCCTTTTGGGATATGGTATCAGTTTCTAAGTTCTTACACATTCAACCTTCTATTTTACCTGTAAGATTTTCTATGAAAAAATTACGAGTTAAAACTGCTAATTCATGTAATTTATTTTGAATAAAATGTAGGCTTTGGCCATTGAGGCATCAGAACACTCTGAATATCTCGATGCACAGCTGATCTCTTTTCTTCCTCATTGTTGCTTTAACATTATACACAGGTTCAATTCCAATGCTAAATAAATAAGACTGGCAAAAAGAATATTATATGAGCTGAATTTTTTAAAAAAATTACATGCAATTAATGACTTGATTTGGCAGGAATGCTATTATCCGTTTGTGATAACATCAAAAATTAACTCACTGATATATCTACCAAAACTTGTATCCTTATCTATGCTTAGAGTAAAATCCAGGTTAGCTTCTTCACATTGACTTCCCCCCTAGCTCTTTGTATTTGTTTCTCTTGCTCATAAAAGACCTATATGGTGAAAAGAGTAACACTGAGGTAGAGATGAACCCAAGCCTGCCTTGTCTTCTTCTTTTAAATACATCTTGTTGTCCCCCACACTAAAGGAGAGTAAGTCACTCGTTTTCCTTGCCTGCAAATAGTATGAAGAGTTTGAGAAAGGAACTGATTAGTTCCTGGAGTTATGATGTACAAAGAAGAATAGCAGATAGATAGTCACCTTCATTGCTATTGACTTGTGTGGTCTCTCGTGGCTTTTTAGCCAACCGATTAGCTGCTTCAGCTGTAATCAGTGGCCAAAGTTGATGATTGAAATGAATCAAAAGGTGAAGCATAAAGAAAAAACTTGATGAGCTAAACTGAAAGGGATAAGAAGTCCACCACCAACATTAATACACTGTATTCTTTTGACGGGATAATCATTCAATTACCAAAACTAAGACTCTGATCGGCTGATGCTTTCGCTTTTCTTTTTTTTTTTGCAAAAAATGAATGGAAAAAATAAAAAAATGAATAGAAAACCCAAAACAAAGAGTAAAAGGCAAAAGCATCAAACTAAACGGAACCCAAGTAAATGCCATCATTGAGGTTTTAGGTAACAGCACCAGTACTAGGAGAAACATATTGCCCGTGAGAGGTTGTGCGTTAAACCATTAACAGGAAAGGCTTCTTTTCCAACATTATTTCAATACAAGCTTACATGAACTTTGTCTCAGCAGGTTTCGGTATACAAAGGATGAGATTCTAAAGTTTCTAAATTTCTTACAATGAGAGCAAGACTATTTGTATTATATTTCCCTCTTATGATGCTGAGAAATTTTAATTTGCTTACCTTTAAACTTCCTTTTCTTGTTAGCCCTCCTCCTCTTCCTCTCTGCCTTTGTGAGTTCTGCTTCTTCTTTAATGTCACCTTTACCAGCAAAAACTTCCTCAGGAGCCAGCATAGCTGCATCTGAGACGGCCATAGGTGCAATCTAACCAAGGAAAAATAATAAATAAGCATGTATACACATACACACACGTGAGTAAATTGTTAAACTAAAACAAGATCAAAATTCTTTAAAAGAAAATTGGGAACTCTTTTTACCTCTTCCATGGCAAGAGCAGGGACATTTGTTTGAATAGACATGTCCTCAACAACCTAAACAAATCAAGACATTATGGACAACTCTTCAAAAAAAAAAAGACATTACGGATAAATACTAAACACTCCACAAGCTGATTTGTAATGACTGTATTCAGAAATCAAGAAACTAAAAGAGAAGCATACAGGCTTTGGAGTAAAGTGAAAATGAGAAAGGGCATCCAACTTCAAGCAAAGTTTCTTGAACAGCATACTGGCCTGGTAAAAGAAAATACAGGAACATATCACCTTAGATGTCAGAATATCAAACATAAAAGCTAATGCAAAAGGTGAACTCTTGACTGGAATGCCGTGGAACTAGTGTATCGAAGGACACAAGTAAAACCATATGATATCTACCTCTTTCTTTAGTTCATCTGAGAAGGATAATGGGGCAGCGGCTGGATCTGTCTTCTGGACAAATTCTTCCTGCAAAAGATTATACATTTTTTCTATTTTCAGTTTTTGCAGTTAAAAAGAAGAAAAAGAGAAAAATATTTTAAGTCACAATTACTTATGATTCGTGAGCAAATATAGAAGCCAGTATATGAATGAGAAATACACAAAAGCGCAGAAGGGTGATTGTTAGACGATGTTTTAAACTAATAATGTGCCACGACATATGATAATCACATGGCATTCATACCTCATAAACTTCAGCAAGACCCTTCTTGCTCTTATTATCATCCTGCAATACCACCAAAATGCAGCTTGAAATAATTAATTTCCATCATTAAATAAAGAGTCACAAAACCTTTAAAGGACTATTGATGATGAATTACAACATACCAGCTCTTTGATCTCTCTTGGTGCTTTAGATGATAAACTGGGAGCTTTTTGAACATCATCAAACAGCCCCTAAATAAAATCATTTCGTTAATGTCAGCTAACACTTAGCAATCCTCCACTGGGAATGTGGCACATAATGAGAATTTACAATTTATTGATCTATCAAAACCACAGTGATCAAAGAAGCACTTAAAAACGCATAAGAATATCTCAACACGTACATAGTGAAAAATAAGAAATACTAAAGAAAACATAGACCTAATAAATGCCAAGAAACCTAATTATTCATTCTTAAGAGTATGTATATATATATATTAAAAGTATATATATATATATATATTAACAAATCCAAGTTAAACAATCACTAATTTAGACTGAAATTATATATTAACTTGAAACAAAATCATCTAGAATTTCAGATGTATCAGATGACATGAATCAACAGGCACAAAATTTCAGGAAAGTAATGCATACATCTAAAAATATAACAAAAATCTTAAGCCACATAAAATTATTACATACCCAGCCATCTACAATTGAGTTATATGTAGAACTCTTCAAGCACTCAACAAAACTAATGGGGTTTAAGAGATATGTAAAATGGAAAGATATGTGGTGATATCATAAAGCAGATTTTAGAGGAAAGTACAGAAATTTCATAATTCATGATATAACATTTTGAAATAAACATATGGAATAAAGTTTATTAATTTACTAAAGAACAAATTCCAAATTGTAACTGTTAGGGAAGAAATTTACCTCACTGATCCTAGTCTTAATTAAATCTTCAAGTGATGCAGTAACCTCCTCTGTGATTACAGGGGCAGGCCTCACATTGTGCTCAAAATCTAAATCAACTTCTAATGCGCTATTCTTTTGCCTTTGAGCAGCAGTTACCTGTTATTATAAATCTTAGCATATGGAATCTTATTCATGTCCATAAACACATGTAGTAGATAATATTCAGAAAGTTTATACAAATATTGACAAAAGTTACCTCTCCACGCATTGTCCAAACTTTTGGATCCAAGTTTGCTTTCTCCATCTGCTCTATTTTAGATTGAAGTTCCTTGAGTTCTTTTTCATGTGTAGAAAGACCATCCTTTCTCTGCAAAAAAAATAAAAGTTGGAATTTAGTCTATTAAAATCAACAGCTGCAGTATCTTTCACTGAAGTTATATATTAAAAGTAATGTGTGTAAAGTTCCATTATATATCTGTAATACATCAAGAGAATATAAAGCCTGATTTTCCAGGACCTTATCAAAATCTTGTTCGTCATCTGATTCTGAATCTTCTTCGAACCTGTCTCTGGATTTGGCTTTCTCCTTTGAACCTTTGTTCTTTTTTGCGCCAAAAAAATCTTCATATCTGAAAATAATAAGGGAAAAAGTAAGGTTTAGGAGAAAGGTCAACCGATCAATAAAATCTAGAAGGAAGGTAGTGCCAATCATATGTGGTGCAAAATTATTTGCATACAATAACTTCAAGAAATAAGGCTTGAGAAAATGTAAAGCACCCAAACAGCATTAAGGCCACGCATCATATCCCAGCAGGGTAAAAGAGAGGTGATGGTCTCTGTTAGTCATTTTACTAAGAAAAATCCAAATGGAGAGAGGAAATTTCCTGTGTGCAACGGGCTGATGCAGAAGTATGATTGATACATCTTTTAGAGTGATCTTAAAAGAATGAGGTGCATAAATTAAAACAATACACATGCATCAGCAACCTAAGGGATGGTAAGAAGTGACATCGACGAATACGACAGCAGAACTGACAAAATATTAGTGATGTCTAAGAACAGATGTTCGTGGTGCAATGCCAACACCATGCATAGAAGTAATAACAACATCCTTATGGTGGCATCAAATATTGTTTTTTCTAATTTCGGTAACAATCATGCAGCACACAGAAAGTGAAACGTCATTGGCAGCCATTAGTTGATACTGTAATGCCAAGTTTGCCAACCGTCACGCAACAAATGACAGCATTACCAGTAATTGAATCCCATTAGTAGCAAGATTATGAAATAACTAGATTCACATCTTAAATATAATAAACATTCACTTCAGCAATAAGGAAAAACAGAAAGAAACAAAATAAAGTTAACAAAATTATATACACAATGTGCAAATTTAGAACCTGGCATTTTCCAAGTCGTCTTCATCGTCCTCGTCATCCCCGTCAAAGAGTCCAAGCTGCAAAATATGAATTGAATTAAACTCTGATAAACAAAATTCTCAAAGATAACCAAATGAAAAAGAACAAAAGAAGTTCTTACCTCATCTTCCTCCTCCTCTGCCTCATCAGTATCATCATCATCTTCTTCTTCTTCTTCACCTTCTTCCTCTTCTTCTTCCGTGTCTTCTTCCTTCTTTTTAGTTTCCGTCTTTGTTTTCTTGTTCTTCTTCAAGCCAAATTCTTTAGCTTCATCCTCCTCTAAATACTCTTGCAATTCCTTAATTTTCAAAAACTTATCCTCTATCCCTCCTTTTTCCTCTCCCTCCAATTCCATTTCCTCTCCTTCGCTCTCGCTCTCCTCTTCCCTTGCTCTCTCCTTCTTCTCCTCCTCCTCCTCATTATCATAATCATCATCGTCATCCATATCCAAATCATCATCATTATCGTCAATGTCATCAGTTCCCTTTTCTTCTACAACCTTCTTGTTCTTTCCTCCTTCTATAGCTTCCTTGAGCTTGGAAATCTCCTCCGGATTCTTCTCGAACTTCTTGACCTCGCGCCGGAGGGTGGATAGAAGCGGCTGCGATTGGAGGTCAATCTGCTGCCATATCTGCTCTGCGTCGAACCCTTCGATCAGCAGCTGATCAAACGGAGACTTCGGGCTGTGCGGTTTCAGGCTCGAGAACAGATGCTTCGACGCAGCTCGAACCGCTTGCGAGAGCTCCTGTTTTGGCACGAGCCACACCGGTGGCTCCTTTGACTTGATTTCACGCAACGATGCCACGGCTGCTTCGATTGACGTCGCCATTGCCGGAAATGAGTTCCGCTGTTAGCTTCGTTCTGCTTTGAGGCTTTCCCTTGGAGTTCTGGGGTTTAGGGTTTTAGGTTTGATGGCTATAATCGAAAAGTCAGCTCCTACTGATTAATTTCTGTGATGATGATGTGTCGCTCTTCTATTGGCTGATTATTTTGTTAAGAGATTTATTTCTCTTTTCAAGGCTTGAAAGTTTTAATTTCAAAGATTAGTAACGAATACCTAAATAATAAAACTAAATTATAATGTTCCAATAAAGTTTTAAATTATTAAAAAAATTAAATAAATTTTTATTTTTTATTATATTCAATTAAGTTCATATATTGTTATTTTTTGATCAAATAATAATTAACTAATTATTATTAATTAAAATATTATTTATTATTTTATATTCATATAGTATTAATATAAGTTGATATGAAAAATAACAAATGGTATATAATTATTTTATTATATCAAATTAATATATTAATTTATTATTAATTATAAAATATCAATATATCACATTATAATTAATTATAATATATTAATATATCACGTCAATATCCAATAATATAGAAAAATAAATAATATTTTGATTAAATTAATAATTAATTATAAAAATTTATTTAATTTAAAATAAAAATATAAAAATTTATTTAGTTTAAAATAAAAATATAAAAAATTGATTGAATATAATAAAAATATAAAGTTTTGAATTAATTTTTATGAACAATTTAGGAACTTTTTTAAATATTATGTCAAAAATTAATTAGTCAATTTTTATTATTTGAGTTGATTAAAATTGTAATGTCATATAAAGGGTTGCAAAAAAATAGATATAATATCTTACTTCTACAACAAATAAATAAAAAAATTTTGAAAGATTTATAAGTGTGTGCATTGCATACTTATCAAGTTAATGTATAATACTTCATAAAAAAAATGTAGGGAATGTTTTAAAAAAAGAATAATAGTCCTTAATAAAATAAATTCAAGTCAAACTTTATTTTCATTTTATGATAATGACTTAAGTTTTGAATATTATAACTTAATTTCACCATCTAAGGTATGAAATAAAAAGATTATTTATTTTTTGATAACCACATGTTCCAATGAAGTAATTACCTAGACATCCACCAAACTTTGACAAAACCACTTCAAATCCTATATTTTTTTTATTCCACATCCTTGCGTTTTAGAAATTTACAACTCTAAACTGTCCCATTCCACCCTGTTTCAAACATTATCCAAATTCAAAATTGTTCAATTTTGACTAATATATTAAATAAGTTATTATTATTGTATTATATTAAGAATATAAATAAATATATATATCTTTTTATTTATAATTTCTCAAGAGATTTAGTGTTTCAATTTTTATCATTCATAATGTATCATGAAAGTTAGAAATATTTTATTTTTTGAAATTTAAAAATTATGTTGGATGAAGTTGTAATTAACATGTTCCTTTAAATAAAAAAGTCATAATATTTTAAAAAATTTAAATAATTTTTTTATTATGTTAAATAAAGTCATATATTTTTATTTTAAACTAATTACATGTCTTTTATAACTAACGTTTACTTAACTTCATTACTAAAAATAAAAAAAGCCGTTATTAGCAAAATCTTGCTTGATATTTTTATATTCATAAAGTATTAACGTGAAAAATAAAAACACCACCTAATTAAATTATCAGGTCATATTATTATTTATTTTAATATATTAGTATGTCAAATGTTAAGTATAAAATGATAAATAATGATTTGATTAATATAATTAATTAATCATTCATTAAAAAAATTTATTTGATTTAAAAGAAAAATAAAAAAATTTGTTTGAACGTATTTAAAAAAATATTTATTTAAATGTTTGTGATTAATTCATAAAATTTTCAAATATTATATCTAAGAAAACGTTTTTCTTTTCCCGTTTATTAAAAAACCATTAATGTTTTTTTTTTAATATTGGTGCATGAAGCAAGCCACTAACTTAAATAAATAAGAAAAATGGGCCAGTTTTCATCAAGTTTGATGTTATTTCTCATTTCATAATTATCTTAAAATCCAACTAACAAAGAAAAAAAACACATTTACGAAAATCTCACAATCACAAAGACTTTCAGAAATCTGATTTGTCTGTAATTTGTCCGGCGCCATAACGGTCAAAACCTGTCAGTTCAGTCTCAATCATCTCCGGTTTGAAGCCGTCAGATTACTCGTCGCAGTGGATCAGTCCGATTTGTCTTTCAACCAGGTGCGGCTCGGTTTCTTGATTAATCTCTGATTCTTTACTTTTTGATTCGGATCACGAGCCGTTGATTTATTTGATCAAAATTTTCGATTTCATTTCCAAATGATTAATGGAGAGGGGACTCGCGAGGAGAACCTCGCCCAAGTCGCCTCTCCCGATCCGTTCGATCCATCCCGTTCGAAATCGGACGGTGGTGACGGCGGCGGTGCCTCGACGGCGTCCTCGCCGCACTACTCATCTTGCGGAGAGTCTGAGCTCGAACGATATTGCAGCGCAAACTCGGTGCTCGGAACGCCGAGTTCGACAGCTACATTCAATGATTGTTTCGGAGAATCTGAGTTCGGGTCAGTGAGGAGTGTTAGTGGTTTTGGATTAGGTGATGATTTTGAGAATTTCCATTTGGAGGAGAACCAGAAAGTTCCATCCAGTCGAAGAATTGAGTTTCCAAAAGGCAGAATCGAAGACGGAGGGGTTGTTAATGTTAAAAGTGTTGAAGAAGGTAGTTCTTCATGTTTGGTTTCGGAGTTAATGGAGGAAGATGGGAATTCTTTGAGATATGAGCATTCAGAAGGGGAGGATTCGATGTATAACTATGGCACGGATGATGGTGAGTGTAGGAATAATTGTTATTATAGGAAGAAAGATAATAATGAGTATGACACTAAGAATGTGAGCGAGAATCCTTTAGGGATTAATTCATCTGTGGCCTTTGGTTCCAATGATTGGGATGATTTTGAGCAAGAAGCGGGCACAACTGATCTGGCTTCTTTCATGCTAGATGCATCTTCTGTGAGGGAACAAGTTCAAGCTGGGAATGAATTGCAACAGAATGTCAATAGTTTTGGTGAATTTCCAATTGGTTTATTGAGTTCAGTTGAATCAGAACTTGTAGAAGAAGTGAAAGACATTCCTGTGGCTAGTTATCAGGAACAGGTGGCTGATGACTTAGTTGAAGAGGCAAAAAGTTCTTTGGTCAATGTAATCAGTTCTCAAAGGGGTCATGAGGTAGAGAAATATGTGAGAGATATTCCTGTTACTAGAAATCAACTCCAAGATGCTGATGATGACATGAAGTATCTAGAAACTTGTTCTGTTACTGATGTCTTTGCAATGGAGCAGGACCCCCCTATTGAAAAAGCCCCTGTGGAGATAGGTTTGGATGTTTTGGATTCCGACAGGGTAAGGCAGCATCAATCTGCACATGCTAAGGAAGTGATTGCTGTTGATGAGAGTATATTACCAGAAAGACAGGAAATAGGCAATTATAAAGCAGAATTAGATCCCCTTGCTGATTGTGCCCATCCAGTCTACACTCCTCAAAAAGTAAATGCACAACTGTTTGATGATTGCAAACCAGATTCACCCACATCTACATGTGAAAATATTGTGAGCGGTAGTACATTCAAGAATCTTCCTGTGCCAGCAGATGTAGTTGAAGAACATCCTGGACCAGTTAAGGTCAGTCACTTGTAAATTTTCGTGTTTCAGCCACTAGTATCCTAATCATTATTTGGATTAGTTAAGATTTATTTTATGCTTATGAATTACAACTGTTAGCTAGATGTGTTTATACATATTTTGCTAATACAGTGAATGAATATTAACTTGAACAAAATCATTTGGGTCTGGCTGGAGAAGCATTTTGTTTTTATTTATTGAACTATTGGCTGGATACTTCAGTCAAGAAGCACAATGATGCTCAACTCCATTGGGAAAATAACTTAGTGACAAACTCGTGACGGCTCTAAGTTGAGCTGCAGCAGTAACTATCATTCTTACCGTAGTTGTTCATTGACTAATGTTGTAGTATATGACCTTTTTAGTTGTACTGACTTACTACAAACTTATCATTCTGTGCAATGTAGCTGGACTGAGCTCATTAAGCATTGAATGTGTCATTTTATGGACTGGTTTATTGTCAAATTTATGGGCCACCTACTTTTTGAGTTTGTGATTGATCAACCATCTTATATAGATAAGTGGTTATCAACCTGTTGGGTTCTGGTTCCATAAATTGCATTTGAAGCTGCTAATACTCTTATTTGTCCATCCTCTACATCTTGCAGATGGAGAATCCTGAGCTAAATGAATTTTATGATGAGGTTGTTCATGACATGGAAGAAATTTTGCTTGAGTCTGTTGACTCTCCTGGAGCCATGTTCTCTCAGGGTAATAGGATGTTCCAACCACAGTTATCTTTACCTCTAAGAGATGGAGGGTCAACTGCTTCTACTTCAGGTGCAGATGATGCTTACTCACACTCTGCACATTTGCTGAGAATAGATGGTGTTGAAGTGGTAGGTGCAAAGCAGAAGAAAGGAGACGTCTCATTTAGTGAAAGATTGGTTGGGGTAAAGGAGTACACTGTATATAAGATAAGAGTGTGGTGTGGCAATGACCAGTGGGAGGTTGAACGCAGATACCGTGATTTCTGCACACTCCATCGTCGCTTGAAATCGTTATTCTCTGATCAAGGTTGGAGTCTTCCTTCTCCCTGGTCATCTGTAGAAAGGGAATCTCGAAAGATATTTGGGAATGCAGCTCCTGATGTTATTGCTGAAAGAAGTGTCCTGATTCAAGAATGTTTGCATTCCATTATCCATTCCAGGTCTTTTTCTAGTCCTCCAAGTGCATTGCTTTGGTTTTTGTCTCCTCAAGATTCATTTCCTAGCACCCCTCCATCAAATACTCTGTCGTCTCAGTCTACAGATTTTTCAAGAGGGGCAGGTACAGAAAAGATTTCTCCTTTAGGGAAGACTATATCGCTTATTGTTGAAGTTCGACCACCCAAACCAATGAAACAGATTTTAGAAGCTCAACATTACACTTGTGCTGGATGCCACAAACATTTTGATGATGGAATGACTCTGATGCTAGATTTGGTCCAGTCACTTGGATGGGGAAAGCCTAGACTTTGTGAATACACCGGCCAGTTGTTTTGTTCATCCTGTCACACAAATGAGATGGCAGTCTTACCAGCAAGAGTGTTGCATAATTGGGATTTTACTGGGTATCCAGTTTCTCAATTGGCTAAATCGTATCTGGACTCTATACATGACCAGGTAATGGCTGTGGTATGAGATGCTGTTTGTAGGATCTATGTATAAGTGAATTGTAAATTGAAGACAACCCAAATATGGAAGATTAGGCATTGTTTTACATATGCCCATCCAGGATGGAAATTAGAGCATTCAGGCGGACAGCTTTACTCCTACCTATGGAAAAAATGGCCTTACTCTCCCTTCTTCATACTTTTCACAGATTTCAAGATAAGGATTATAAAATGGATAACTTTGATTCTCATCATATTCCAATGCATTGATATTTGCTGTGGGTAGGGAGCCTAAGAATGACTTGATGGTTATTGGCTCTGTACTGGAAATTTCTTCCGTCATAACCCCTTGTACAATTTTTTATATATGTATTTAGATTTATGATGGCATTTAACGAAATTTATAAGTAGAACTTTAATCTCCCAAATGTTTACTTAAATTAATACTTAATGTCAAGCCAGGTGTTTTAACCATTTTTTTTTTTTTTTTGCAGCCCATGCTTTGTGTTAGTGCAGTTAATCCTTTTCTGTTTTCGAAGGTTCCAACCCTGCACCATGTTATGGGCATCAGGAAAAAAATAGGAAATATGCTTCCATATGTTCGCTGTCCATTTCGGATGTCAATCAACAAAGGACTTGGGTCTCGAAGATATCTTCTTGAAAGCAACGATTTTTTTGCACTTAGAGATCTCATAGATCTTTCCAAAGGAGCTTTTGCAGGTTAACTTCCCATCACAAGCTAATTTGGTTTTTAGTGGAGGATACTTTGCTATTTAGAGGTCATTATTTTGAGTCTATCCTTTTCTATACGAGCAGGCAGAATACCACTTTTTGGAAGACTGTGACCTGCAAAACCAGAAACACTCACACACAAATAACCAATATTTGAAGTTTTTGTTGATTGTTAAAATTTTAATGTAACTTGTGTCACAGCTGTCACCCTATCGAGGTGAAGTCTTTGTATAAGGTATTATATATCACCTGAGAAATAAGAGGGGACTTTCACTTTGAACCTTTTATTTTTCAGACATTACTTGTATTAGCCTTTTGGTTTTCTGAATCTGCAACATAGGATTTAATTTTTTTTTTCTATTACTCCCTTTCACTCTCTTGTCTTTCTTCTCCTATGTTGGTTTGACTCTGAAGTAAGGATGTCAATTCTCATGTCAGCTCTTCCTGTGATGGTTGAAACTGTATCAAGGAAAATTCAGGAGCATATTGTAGAACAATGCCTCATATGCTGTGATGTGGGAATCCCCTGCAGTGCTCGTCAGTCTTGTAATGACCCATCATCTCTCATATTTCCTTTTCAGGTCCGTGTATATCCCATTGCTTATTGCTGTTTACTACCTAGGTAATCAGTTGCTCCATGATAAATGTTTGCCATCCAAATTTTCTTATAATCCAGATGTCTTTATTTCCATTATCATCGCATGAATTCCACTACTACATGACACTCTTTGTACTTTCTTGGGCTTGTTAATCGGAATGCCTAAACCATTGAGCTTGAGCATTACAAATTCTATACATGCTGATCTACTCTGTTTCCGCTGGTAGTTCATTTTGCTGGGGAAAAAGTAGCATATTTAGAGCATGTTTGGCCTGGCTTTTTTTTAGCTTAAAAGTTATTATAAAGCTCTTATAAAAAATAATAGCTTTTAAAATTAAGTTAAAGTTGTTTGGTAAATTTCATTTTTATAAGTTTTTTTTTATAGATAAGCTGTTTGGCAAAATAATTTATATAAACTCTAATTTAGGTTAAAATTACCATAAAGGGTATTTAATAAATAATTTTTTATTAATCATGAATTTCTTTGCTCAAAATAGAAAAAATTAACTTTGTTTTTTATCTATTTAAAATAAATTTTTCAGATTTTATTCTTTAAAAAAAAGTTACTTTTTTTTAAGAGCTTTTTACGAAATTCTGTTTAGCTCAGCTTTTGCTTTTAAGCAGTAGATAAGCTAAATATAAGTCAGGCCAAACGGGTACTTACTCTATTAACTTTTGCCTGAGAATGCTCAAAAGTTCTGCATTATTGGGTTTTTTTTACCCTATTCATTGATACAATCTGACAGCATGATATTTTAACAGGAAGGTGAGATTGAAAAGTGTATGTCCTGTGGATCAGTTTTTCATAAGCATTGCTTTAAAAAGCTTGCAGAATGTCCATGTGGGGCGCTACTTAGGGCAGATGAAGCTACAAGGCATTCAAATAGTCTAATCCGTGGTGTCAGTTTTGGGGCAAGTGGAGCTTTGGACTTGTTAGGGAAGAGGTCAAGTTCTGGGTTACCCGTGGGTTTCCTCTCTGGACTATTTTCAAAGACAAAGCCAGAAGGGATGGAGCATAAGGATAATGAAAATATCATTCTAATGGGTTCTATGCCCAGCAATTATTTGTGATCACATGTGATGTATACTTTGTAAGTTACTTTGATTTGACAGGCTGGAGTTCTTTTGTTGGAGCTTGGTCTATTAACTGATATCGATGTGACCAAATTCTGAGGTGAATTCTAAACACCTTTTAATTTTTACATTTTGTGCTTTTGTTACTGGTAAGTTTCGCTATCTTCTAAATTTTAATTCGTCTCCTTAAATGGAAACCCCTGTCGTTGCTGCAGGTGCTGACCGGCCACCTGTAGATAAAACATACACGACAAGAAAGCTGTCTCGAGGGCCATCATGTATGTACATAGATTTCTTTCAGATTTACAGTTTTCTGGTGGTCAAAATCTGGTAAAACTTTCCAAAGTTGATAATTTTAGAAGTTGTAAATCTTGTTTCTGCAAAAGGGTTGATTAGTGGGAAAGTACAATGTTGTCTTTAGCCAAATTGTTGTCATTGAAATTGTCTGTAAACACTCCTAAACGAGGATTATCCTATTGATTGCATTAAGAGAATCCCTTTTAATAGCGAGCAACTCGACAAGTTTCGTCGAGTCAATTACATTAACTGATTCAGAAAACATAAGCTTAATAGATTCTACTTCATCTCTCAACTTCACCTTTCCAATTTTTCATAATCAAGATTCTAGTGGATATTTGGAACAAAGCATGAACTGACACAAGGTATTATCCCTTGTAAGAATGCATGCATGCATGAGCCCACAAACATTACAAATTTTTGTTAATAAATTGCAGTTCCTTGTTTCTCAACGTCACCAAGGTATTATGAAAGTATATATTTAATGGGTTTGTGTTTGATATAGATTTTATATATAATTAATGAATTAAATTTGGTCACACGATTAACCCATAAATTTAAAACTTATGATAGTGTGTAAACTCAATATCATGATAAATGCCAATGGTCAATTTTGGGTAATGATCTCTATCAACAATGTTTTGTGTCATGGTCTAGAGAAGAGTTATGAATTTCATATTGATTGTATATTAGAATATGAATTTTGTATTTAATTGTTTATAGTATTTTTACTATATGATACATATTTGAGTATTTAATTTATTAATTAGTATATGATCTCTTATTAATAAGAGAGTAGAGTTCGAATTTTTTTCTTTCAATTAAAAAAAATTATGATACGATAATAAAATTGTGAGACTCAATAGATCAGAACAGCACTCATGTGAAATGACAAAAAAACCTAGTAGCTATTGTGATTATTTTATAATTGAAGGATAGGTAAAAGATCATGATTATCAATTGGGAAAGAATGGTTGCAGAACTTTTAGTTAAAAACAACTGGAAAACTGTTGGACTGAAACAAAATAAAATTGAAAGATTTGAAGCTGTCGGTGATCATCATTTCTCTTTTTCTCTCTTCTTTTTCTTTTCTCCCTTTTAGGGTATCAAGGTGAACATCATTCAAAAGCACCAATATATGATAGAGCCTCTGTTTCCTTCCTCTGAGTCAGCTTCCACAAAGTGAAACGATGTCATTACTCATTATATTTCGCCGTATTTGACCCCTTTTCTCTTTCCTACACAGATCACCCCCCACACCTCAGCTAGACCAATCTATCACTGTTAGGCCAGCCAAGTTGAATAATAAGCGTTGGAAAGCTGATGGGAATTTTTCTATCTGTTCTTTTTCCTCCTTTTCTCCTCCTGATAAGGAATAGATTGATAATGATTAGGGAGTTGGACAGTTGCCAATTCCCAGGTTTTTCATTTGTCGGATAAAAACTGCCATCAGTGAGTTTTTAATAATTGAATGATGGTGTGTTAGAGAATGACTGGCTATTTAAATGTTTACATTATTTTTAACTTGTGAGGCTTCATGTAAAACAAAATCATAATGATAAGTAACTTGTAGATTAATGTGAATCATGTAGATTAATGTGAATCATGTAGATTAATGTGAATCATGTGAATCGTGACAGATAGTATCAGAGTCAGTTTTAATAAGATTAAAATAAATAATACTTTGCAAGTTAGTGTGAATTCTGATAGTTAGTATCAAAACCGACTATAGGGATTATGTATTATGACATTTTACGTATACACGATATTTGATCAAATATGTTTGATTCAAATAATTTTAAGTTGAGATTGGAACTTACATGTGTAAAAACACATGTAAATTGCTTGAACAGGAAAAAGAGACAAAAAAAAAAGGTTGACAAGTAAACTTGGAGAAATAAGATATTTTCCTTTGAATTCTTTTGAATATCTATCTGTGGTTACAACTTAAAAACTACTACACAACTCCCTAAAATGGGTGTATAAACAAAGATTGCCTGCTTTCTTGCTTGGCCTGTTTTGTATCTTCCAAGTCTCAGTCTGATGTATCAACACCTTTTGTCAAGTTTCTGATGCAAGAATCCTGAAGTTTCAATTATGTTATATGTGCCATTTGATGCATTGTCTGTATCTTTTATGGGGGAAAAAAATTAGAGTTTTCTTCTTCAAAGACCTTCTAACCAGTTGTCTGCATAAACCCACCAGTTGAAGCTACCTCATACACTGATAGGAGTCAGGGAACCATCTTGAAAATGCATAGTGCTTCAGCTTTACCATCAAAGCAAAGAGACCATAGCATGGGAAATGCATCAATGCCACTGAAAAGTACCTTCAAATCCCAATTCAAAGATGAGAGAGTAAGTGTTTGTGCCAAGATGCTTGGATATATACAGATCAAACATGGTTTCTGATAGAAGCTTTGATGATTAGAAGAACATACCATAAGGGAGCATATGGAGATGACAGATCAAGAAATGGATATGGCCACCTGTTTAAAATGATTGAAATCAACATTAATCAAAAGATAAATGAAGATTATAAATACCACTAGAGACAGATGAGAGTTTAATGGATTTACCAGACATTCACACAAGCATGAACAAGCCACTGGAATATAACATAGATCACTGTCCAGAGGAAGAAGTATGCGATCCGGAAACAAGGAAAGCGCTAGACGGGACAAATAAACCAAAATTAACAAGAAATCAAATGGAAAGATTTAGAAACTATCAGACTTTGAATGTGAGTAGGGTCACTTACCAAGCAGTTGAAAGCGGTATCAGCAAGCAGGAAAACAGCATTGATAGTATGCATATTAATGGCCAGCTGCCACAGAAAGATTAAGGAATTGTGCAAGTAAGAACCAAAGAAACTGACAAAATATTTGGGATTTTTGTTCTGTTTTTTCATATCATGATATGCAGAAGAAATTGGGAATGCTCTATGCTTTTGCTCTCTTAATGGATTGAACAAGAAGATCAAGTTCATGAAATCTTAAATTTGATCAAGTATAGTGGCTATACTTACAACACTCAGATTGTAATCTTTGATTGCAAGAAAAGGGACAATTATGAACCAAAAAACACAATCAGTCAGCAAAACAGCACCGGCATTCATCTGTTCACAAGAAAAATTATGTCATCATCCCTGGGAAGCAAAGCAGCTAAAAAGAAGTTCCCCTTGAAGGGCTAGAGCTTCAAGGAGAGACAAGTTACCCTTTGTTTTTGAAATTAGTATACCTGGAAGATTATTTGAAAGACATAACCCGACGTGCCTGCAGGCTGGCGAACAGAATGCCCTTCAGGAAACTCAGGGTTTTTTTCTGCATTGTCAGAGGTTTCTCCACCCGTAGTATCTGCATAGCTTCCTTGCTCTGCATCTAACTCTACGTTATCAACCTTGTCGCCACTAACCCTTTTGTGGTATTGGTAACATCCACGCATGGAAAGCACTGATCCCAGCTACAATTGAAACATGAGATGAATGAGTTAACAAATCAAGAGCAGAAGAACCAGCACTGCGATAAAGACGCATAAATATACAGATAAAATCTCATAGAAGTGATAAAGTGTACCCCAAAATAGATGGTGATCAATGTGAAAGTCCACCTGCACAGAACAAGGAAAATGCAGAAAGACTCAGAAATTGGTCAAGTCCATACTTCATGTAAGTAAGTTTAATTGGTTTCCATGAAAAGTTTAAATGCAAATGATAGGGTAAACTGATTTTAGCTATTTCCATAAAGAAACCATGTGATTTTAGAACCTCAACAACAAATTACATGTTCCTTTTTTTTAAGAATTACTACAACATCAGTGCAGAAATTCATGATCTTTTCTTCTTTCTTTAAGAAAGAAAACAAGGCATACCCTCAAGGCAAGGAACTCTAAAAAGATCATTGTTGTAAGGAAATCATCTTATATCTCATAAGACAAGTGTAGAGTACCAATTAAAGCTTGCAGAAGGAATCACAAGTACGCAGAAAAAAGGAAATTTTCCCTTGTCAAATTTCATACATCAAATACGAAATACTATGAGTTTCGTCCAAGAGAAAGGGGAGCTTACTGAGTATAATAGTAGAAAATGCTGCCTCCATCGACAAAAGAGGTGACAAATAGCAATATCAGAAGCACAAAGAAAGCAACAAGTCTGAAAGCCAGCAACCAAGCAGGGTGAATTCCTTTTAAACATGGCCTCCAAGTCTCATCCTCATGAAGAGATCCTGCCGTATCTTGCTGAGTTTCTCCATTACTGTGATTAGATTTGCGGAAACCTTCATATTTCCATATAAGAATAAAGGAAAAAGTGGCTGTGATCAAGACCCAAATGGAACAAAGCAAGACCCTCCAATTGAACCAGTAGATTGTGGTAGTTGTATTGACAGTCATGGTTGGTTGCCAAGAATCTCCTCCTCCTGTTAAATAACTCATGATGGAGCAACTAATTACTTCTCTGTTTTTTGTCAAGGAATGAATTTGAAAAATGGTTTTTTGTGCTCAAATTCTTTCATGGAAATTATTAAAAAAAAAAAAGGAAGATGAACAGCAACTTGGTTCTGAAAAGAGAATGAATAGGATCAAGGAAGTACTGATTTGAACAGAGGAAAATAATGGGATAACTTTATATGAATCTAAAATAAAACCATGAAAATATGGTGAATGATTTCTTGGAGGAAAAAGGAAGAGTTTTTCATTAAGTAGGGAACATGAATTGCATGAAACAACAGAAAAGCTCCAGAGAATCTTGATGAAACAACAAACTTTTACTATTTTGAATGAAACAAACTCAGAAAACAGAAGACATTTTGTAAGATTAGAGCTCCAAAAGAATGATCTTCAACTTACTACTATTCACAATTGTTAATGAAAAAAAAAATTGAAATAACAAAACAATTGAAAGATAGAGTTAAAATCTTAAAAACAAAGAATCAAACAATACAAGAGTAGCTGACTTGACATGACTTAGGCCACATTCAAGAGAACTTTGAGAAGAAATGGTTTTCTGATATATTCTTATCAACATCAAAACAGGTAATCAAGAATCAGACCAATTGGAAATTCAGAAAAACAAAAGTTGCCCTAGTTTGAATTTGACCTGATATTAACAAATGCATCAGGCCTTTGGCAGAGATTCCAAACTTTAGAAATGTTTTTTTTCTTTGCACCAGAAATATATATTAATTTAAACAAAAAGTTTTGATTAATATTAAAGATGAGATAAAAGCAAAAGCTACATTCTGAGCAAAGGAAAGGTTGATGCTTACAAGGGAAAGCAAGTTAATGTGGAGGAGATGCTTTGCTTCTTTGCTTACAGAGAGAGAACCAAAAAAACTGATAAAGCAACCAAGCTTAAAGAGAGAGAGAGAAGGATAAAAAGGGTGGTGTGCTTTGAGGGCAAGCTTCTCTCTCTCTCCCTGTTATTTATAAAGGAAAAAGGAATTCTTTGGAAATAGACTACACTAGACCAGACCCCTTTTCCAGTCTTCACACAATCTCCATACCATCATGCAAATATTAAATTCTCAGACATGCAAGTTTTTTGTGACCTTTTTCCTTGGAATTCTAGTCTTTTGTAGTCTTTTTAGTCAAGTTTTTCTTCCTTTTCTTTTTTGATTATTTACAAAATATTTTAAAACAGGACAGAGAGATGGGAACAGTCAGTATTATATTTGGATTTTTGTGTTGGAATTCTGATGATGCTTTTTGGGTTCAGAGATTGTTTTGGTGTGTTCTGAACAGCAACTATTTACAAGGAATAAAGCAACTCACAAGGGAGGGAAACAATGGTCTGATGCAGTGAAGTACCATTAACTGGTGATGATGAACCTCACTTTTTTTTTACCAATGGTTTTGTCCATCATTTTGTTGTAACATCACATTAAAGATCATATTAGGGTTGAATTTTTGATATATCCATAAACACCCACTAATATTGATTTTTTACGTAAAATCATGTCAAAGGGTCTTCTCAGAATTGGATTTTGCATTGAAACTCAACCAATCCTCTTGTTTGAGACAAGATTGGGATTCTCAAAACCATGATGATGTTTACTCTTTTTTCATGTGTTAGTTAAAGCATAAAATCAGTTGATGTTCAAAACAGGGGACCCAGATGTGACCAAAGGTCATGTTTCTTGCCCCACAATCCCCAGCCTCGCAAGTTTTTCTTCGGATGATTTGCTAATAAAAATAGTCAATAATTTTTGGGCTTTTTTTTTAATTTTTTCCATTGTCGGCACAGAAGGATGACACGTGTCATCCTTGCATTGGTTGAATTGCAAGAGCCGAGACTTGTTTGATAAGTTTGGACCAGCGCCGCCCCACCTCGAGAATCTTCCTTCACCGTACAAAGGGAAATACACTTGACAGAACAATAAAACCTTGATGCAGAACATTTATTTTTTATTTATTTTGCAAGCAACCTAAAATAAATAATAATAATAATAATAATAACCATCTTAAATTTCGACTTGTCACATCATTTATATGGAAAGAGAAAAGAAAGAATAACAATGAATACTTTATATTACTTTATCTAGTTAAATAAAATTAAAATATTTTCCAATCATATTCAAATAAAAATTTAAAATACTAAAATTACTATTCATCACCGATTGGATTAAGATTCAGTAGTGATTATAAAGTAATCACTACTCAATTTCACATCATATATACATATAAAAGAAAAGAAAAGTAAAAATAATCATAGACATTTTATAATAAGATATATAAATAATATTATTTAATCTAATTAAAGTAAGATTTAAATAATAAAATTATTATTTATTACTGTCTCGAATAAAATTTCATAATAATCATAAATCATTTATTATTTAAATTCAATTATATATATATTATAAACTATTAAAATAATTTCTGAATATTAGTTGATACTCTGACATTCTTGCTTGAAAGAAAGCGTGGGAAGGCAATGGTGGCGTGAAAACGGGACGGAAAGGTGAGTGTGACTTGTTTTGGGAGGTGATGATAAACGTGGTCTCCAAGCATTAGAAAAGCAT